GGACCCAGGCCTGTCTGAATCCCAGGCAGGCCATATTGCCATCTTGAATTGAACCTGCAGCCTCCTTGTTGGGCTTTTTTGTCTCTGGTACTGCCAGGGAATCCCAGCCTCAAGGGCAGGACCTAGATCCCGTGTGTCCTCATTTTTCCAGGAATCTTGATCATCAACAGACCTATGGCAGATGACACGCTTCATGGATGTACCCTCCCTTCCCTACATTCTTTGCCAGCTGTTATGTATATGTGGCTTGGTCCTACCTTTGCCACAAAGCCTCCCTGATCCCACTTCCTTGCCCATCCACCCTGCCACTATTAGTCTCATTCATGGAAAGATCCACTATCCTCAAGTCGTCTTTTTTGAGAAATGCAAATTCTCAGACCCTGCCCCAGATTTGCTGAATCAGAACCTCTGGGGGCTGAGGCCCAGAGATGCGTGTGTTAACAAGCCCTCCAGTGGATTTTGATGCCTGCTCAAGTTTGAGAACACTGTTCTATAGAATAAAATTTAGAGCCCCACCTCCCTCTCAGTCTTGCCATTGTAATGTTTACCCACTGCTCTCAACACATACTATAGTCATGAGTCATGACACTTCCTGCTTCTTGCAATTGCACCTTATTCTCACTTTCACATCTTTGCTTTGAATGCTCTTCTTTTATTCTTTGGAACATCGGCCAGTGACATTTTCCCTAGCCCATCCTTCCTCTCCCAGTTCAACTCATACCTCCTCTAAGCCCTAATTTCCTGACTCCCAGCCCTAATTTTCTTCCCTCTCCTGGAGTTTATTACACAAGCCTTGTGCTATGTGTGTTGGATTTCTCTTTAGCTGTTCAGTGCCTTTGGACAGGAATGTTGGATAATCACACTTCTGTTACCTCCTCAGCTCCTAGTTAGGGGTTGGCACTTAGGAGGTCCTTAACAAGCAAATACTAGATTCTAGACTGATTGATGTGCCGCAGTGCACTTACTTAGGGTGTCTGCCCCAACCCATGATTCCTGAGAGGCTGAGTCAGGTAGCTGGTGGTCCATCTAAGAATTATGATGTCATGTCATGTTGGGGAGGAGCAGAGAACATGACCACAGAGAGAGATCCAGTCTGCTGAGAAGGCAATGGAGCAGACATGTAAAGAGAAGCAGAGATGAGGGATGACGCTGTTCTGGAGGCAAAGATGGCCTGAGTAGGTGCCTTACCACTTCCTAGTTTCCATGAGGCCTGAATGGATGTACTTCCAGCACAATAAACCTCTTTTTAAAAAACAAATTTTATTTTAATTGGTCTGCAGAGGTTCCTAATCCTTGAAAATACTGACCCCTGATTAAGATACAAACAATTGTTTTCTTTTGGAGACATGCATTGTTGTGGTTAGGTAGGTGACCATCTTATCTAAATTCCCCACAGTGTCCTTACTGTGGCAGAAGCCCTGGTCAGGGCTACCTCCCCTTGCCTACCTGTGCCCCTTACTGCCAAGCCTTTGGGTGCCACAGGCTCACTTGGTGATGATCATGGTCCCCTCTTCCATGGGGTAGCCGGCATCTTGGATGGCCCTGCTGGTGGAAGTAATGGCTAGCTTCCCCCTCCTATTGAAGTTTCTTTCTTTCTTCCCACCTCATTCCTCCATCTCCCTCCACTCCAGGGATTCTAAGGCTTTGGCACTGAAACATTTGTGGGCTGTTCAAAGATTTTCACTGTGGCAGATGAAATAACCATTGTGGCAGGCAACTCAGCTCTGATAGTTGGGACTGGCAGGACAGCTGACACAGAGTAAAACACATTATTTCATGGTTTATTATTCTGATTCAGGTATGCCAAGTCTGATCATAATTCTCTACTGGCCCATTTTATTTTATGGGCTGCTGGCCTATCTTTCCTTCCTTCCTTCCTTCCTTCCTTCCTTTCTTTCCTCTCTCTCTCTCTCTCTCTTTCTTTCTTTCATTTTTTTTTTTTTTCTTTCCTCTTTTCTTCCTT